TTATTCGATGTCGAAACAAATCCACAAAAAACAGCGCAATTCTTTGAGATTGGGTAAACAATTACAGAAATTATTCAATAAAGTTCTTCTTCAAATGCAAGGCCATATTGCGTCCTTTAATATTATCCAGCAATTTATCCCGCAATTAATGAAACCATGGATTTATGGGATGTGATACCATGTCAATAGCTAAACCCTGTAACTCATCTTAGAAATTCTCAAACTCATCTATGTCGCCAAAATTTTCTGATTTTTAAATCGAAACTACATTTCTTGCAGATATCGCACTCCGGCGTTAGCCAATGAAGCTGAAATTTCACGTTTGGAGGATTTTCGTACCTACGGCCATACTTACATTGACACCAGTTATCCAGACAGTGGCCTAGACATGGATAGGTACGTAATCTCTACAACTTCTAGTTTTTACTCAATGCCTTGTTCTGAATTTAATTTGAGCCGTGGACCAAGACTTTTAACTTTTATTTCGGCTGGCGTTTCGGAGTCTTCGTTCTCTTCAGAGCCTGGAAACTCGAAAGTATTTGCAAACTACCCTCCCAAACGCTTCATTTAACCACAGAGTCCAATCAACAGCCGCAGAGCGGGAAAAAGTCTCAGATAAACGAACTAAGTTACTAGCGCTCACCTTCTTAGCCTTCCAGACAAAAGCGACCATCTCAAGTTGCTCCTAAAATATTGTTTTGTCCTCACCCAGCAAATCCTTCCTTTAAGACATCTTTAACAGGATTTCTTTAGCTTCACACGAGATGTACAGTTTTCATAGTCAAAATTGCTGAGATTAAGAGGGGGGATTTGCACGAATGAATGTTGAATGAATTGCAGCCTTTAAAAATATCTATTGGATCCTTAGCTACCAGCAATTTTAGAGAATTGTCGCTTTTGCAAGCAAAAACTAAACGGCTTATTAGTAGGCAGCGAAGAAGAAAAATCGAAGCTCAACGTAAATCTAGAAGAAACAATGTAATATGAAAGCTCAAACGTTACTTAATGAATCTTTATCAGCTGAGCTGGCCCTTTATGATACTACCTTGTTTAAGATCAGAGCGATCACCAGTAAATATGTTTAGATGACCATTAATGTAATGCTTTGAGTCACTGGAGCAGCATATGTGCTCGGGTTGCATCAAGGAAAAAGTGGCCTGGTTTTCAATTTCGCTCCAAATGATATTTCGACTCGTTGCTGTTCTAAAAATTAAAAAAATAATTAATATGTGTGCTCCTCCAAACTCTTTAGAAAGCAGTTTAGAGAAAGATAAAGTAGACGCAACAGTGGAAAGATCGAGCTAGTGCTATTCTGATAGCTCTAACACATATCATATTACTGGACAAAAACAAGTGTCACTTGTTTTTGAACCTCAGCGCTAATCAACAAGTCACCCCCGTGCTCACCAACTGTCCCGTACATCAAACTTCGCATAGTGGAAATGGGCCAAATTTTTAAAGAACTAACTCTTCTAACACCAAAGTTTTATCAGTCTTTCACCTGCGATGCTGGGAATTTGCATTTTAGCCATAATTAGTATCAGTTAAGCATTCAGCATAACCAATGGGTGCTCATCTATGAT